GCTCCGCCCCGGCCCCGCCCCCCGGCCCCGCCCCCCCGCCGCGGGCCACGCCCCGCCCCGCTGAGCGCCCCCTGCCGGGCCGGAGGACCGGGGGGCCCGGGGGGCCCGTCTGCAATAAAAGTATTTTACTACAGCGGCTGCGAGTCCTGGGGCACTGGGAGCACTGGGCTGGACTGGGACCGGTCCCAGTCTGGACTGGGAGCACTGGTTCATACTGGGAGCACTGGTCCAGACTGGGAGCACTGGTCCGGACTGGGAGCACTGGTTCATACTGGGACCACTGGTTCGTACTGGGAGCACTGGTTCACACTGGGAGCACTGGTTCGTACTGGGAGCACTGGTTCGTACTGGGAGCACTGGTCCAGACTGCGAGCACTGGTCCAGACTGGGAACACTGGCCTGGACTGGGAGCACTGGTTCATACTGGGAGCACTGGTCCGGACTGGGAGCACTGGTCTGGACTGGGAGCACTGGTTCATACTGGGAGCACTGGTTCATACTGGGAGCACTGGCCTGGACTGGAAGCACAGGTCCAGACTGGGAGCACTAGTCCAGACTGGGAGCACTGGTCCAGACTGGGAGCACTGGTCCAGACTGGGAGCACTAGTCCAGACTGGGAGCACTGGTCCGGACCGGGCTCTGCAGCAGGACCCTGTCTCACCCTCCAGCACCACTTGGAGCCCGCGGATCTTTCTGGAAAGTTTTTAATTAGAACCTGGAAAATCCACCGCAGAGGGGGCGTGGCCCGGGCCTGGCCCCTCCCCCGGGGCGGGGCTACAGCAGGACAAAAGTGGGGGAGGGGAGGGGGGAGGGGCCGCCCCGCCCCCACCCCGGCAGCAGCGCCCCCGCCCCTCCCCCCCCCCCCCCCCGGGCCTTCCTGAGTGGGGGGGGGGAGGGGACAGCCCTGTCCCAAGGGGGGGAGGGGCAGGGGACATCCCCACGGGGGGGAGGGGACAGCCCCACCCACCTAAGGCCACCCCCGGACTGTCCCGTGTCCCCCCCCCGGTAAGGCTCCGGTTCACCGGGGATGTCCCCGGGTGACCCGGGATGTCCCCACTTAGCCCTGGGCCACCCCCGGCTGCTCCCGAGCCACCCGGGACGTCCCCGGAGGCCCCCGGGCCACCCCGGCCGTGTCCCTGTCCTGGGGCCAGCCTTGCTCCCCCGTCCCAGGAGATGCCCCCGGGTCCCTGGGCCACTGGGATGTCCCCAGCAGCTCCCAGGGTCCCGTGACACCCTGGCCCTGTCCCCAGAGGCCCACCCGGGATGTCTCCACATCCTCATGGGGCCCTGGAGGCCACAGAACGGCCCCAGGTGTGTCCGGGGGGTCCCGGGCCCAGCCAGGTGAGCTCCAGAGGTCCTGGGTCCATCCAGGTGGCCCTGGGTCCATCCAGGGTGTCCCCATGGACACCTGGACCTTGGTCCAGCCAGGGGACCTCTGGAGGTCCCAGGTCCAGCCACGATCTTCCTGGACCCTGCAGAAGGTCCCTCCTGCGCATCCCGGGTCCGTCCTGGACATCCCGGGCCAATCCTGGACCTCCCAGATCCATCCAGGAGCTCCCGGGTTCTTCCTGGACATCCCAGGCCTATCCCAGGCTCTCAGGTCCATCCTGAACATGCCAGGTCCATCTCAGGTCCATCCAGGACATGCCGGATCCACCCAGGAGCTCCTGGCTGCACCCAGGCCGTGCCCACCAAGTCCCGGAGCGCCCTCGAGGTCCATCCAGGCCATCCCCAGATCCATCCAGGAGCCCCCGAGGTGCCCGAGGTCCATCCCGGCGCTCCCGTGTCCCCCCGTGGGCGTCCCCGCCGCGGCCGTGGCTCGGAGCCGGAGCTCCAGGGCCACCTCAGAGGCGCTCCGGGCTCGCCGTGTCCGTGGCTCAAAGCGGAGGCTCCTCGGCCACCTCGGAGCCGCCGTGTCCGTGTCCCTGGGCTGTGTCCGTGTCCCCGGAGCCGTGACCGTGCCCCTGGAGCCGTGTCCGTGTCCCTGGAGCCACGGTGCCTGGGCCGTGTCCGTGTCCCTGGGCTGTGTCCGTGTCCCTGGAGCCACGGTGCCCAGGCCGTGTCCGTGTCCCCGGAGCCGTGACCGTGTCCCTGGAGCCGTGTCCGTGTCCCCGGAGCCGTGACCGTGTCCCTGGAGCCGTGTCCGTGTCCCCGGAGCCATGGTGCCTGGGCCGTGTCCATGTCCCCAGAGCCGTGTCCGTGTCCCCAGAGCCGTGCTGCCCGGCCGTGCCGCGGTGCCCAGGCCGTGTCCGTGTCCCCAGAGCCACGGTGCCCGGTCGTGTTGCGGTGCCCGGGCTGTGTCCGTGTCCCCAGAGCCGTGTCCGTGTCCCCGGAGCCACGGTGCCTGGGCCGTGTCCGTGTCCCCAGAGCCGTGTCCGTGTCCCCGGAGCCACGGTGCCTGGGCCGTGTCCGTGTCCCCAGAGCCGTGTCCGTGTCCCCGGAGCCGCGCTGCCCGGCCGTGCCGCGGTGCCGGGCCGCGGCTCAGAGCTTGAGCTCGTTGGCCACCTTGGAGGCGATGTTCTTGAAGGCCATGGAGGTGCCGGCGATGCGCTTGAAGCGGACGCCGTTGAGCGAGAGCCGGGGCAGCTTGCACACCTCCATCTCCCACTGCACGAAGGAGTCGTGGCCGGGCGCGCCGTGGGCGCAGAGCAGCACGAAGCGCTCCTGCGGCTCGCAGCGGCAGCTGTTGGCGTCCAGCACCTTGCGGATCTCGCGCAGCATCTCCCCGGGCTCCAGCGAGCTCGTGGTCTTCATGCTCCACGTGAAGCGCAGCGAGCGCGGCTTGGCGTCGCGCCCGGCCTCGCGCGGCTCCTTCTCGGGGCCCACCGCGGGTCTGGGGGGAACCGGGGGTTAGGGGGTGCTGGGGTCCTTCAGGGGGCCCACTGTGGGAAATTGGGGGTTAGGGGGGGCTGGGGTCCTTCAGGGGGCCCACTGTGGGAAATTGGGGGTTAGGGGGTGCTGGGAGTCCTTCTTGGAGCCCACTGTGGGAAATTGGGGGTTAGGGGGTGCTGGGGGTCCTTCTTGGGGCCCACCGGGGGGAATTGGGGGGTTAGGGGGTGCTGGGGTCCTTCAGGGGGCCCACTGTGGGAAATTGGGGGTTAGGGGGTGCTGGGGGTCCTTCAGGGGGCCCACTGTGGGAAATTGGGGGTTAGGGGGTGCTGGGAGTCCTTCTTGGGGCCCATGGCAAGTCTGGGGGGAACTGGGGGGTCCTGGGGGTCCTTCTCAGGGCCCACTGCAGATCTGGGGGAGCACCATGGGGTCACCAAGGGGAGTTGGTCACCCCTGGGGTTGTCACAGGGACCCTGGGGGTGTCCCCAGGAGTGTCAAAACGACCCCAGGAGTGTCACAAGGATGCCAGGGGTGTCCCCGGGGTGTCCCCAGGAGTGTCACAGGGACCCCGGGGGTGACCCAGGGTGTCACAGACACCCCGGGGGTGTCCCCAGGAGTGTCACAGGGACCCCGGGGGTGACCCAGGGTGTCACAGGGACCCCGAGGGTGTCACAGGGACCCCGGGGGTGTCCCCAGGGTGTCCCCGGGGTGTCCCCAACTCACCTGAGGGTCTCCACCCGCTCCTTGCTCTCGGGCTCGTGGGGGTTCCTCGGGAGACAAAAGGGGCCGAGCTCAGCCGGGGGGGCTGGGGGGGCACAGCCCACCCCCCCCGAGGGGACCCGGGGGCACAGACAGCACCGGGGGCGGGGGACAGACAGACACACGGGGGGGGACGAGGACAGACGGACGGGCGGGGCCGGGGGGACCATGCGGGGCCGTGCAGCACTGGGGAGGGGTCCGGGGGGGGGTCGGGGGGATTTTTGGGGGGGTTTGTGGGAATTTTAGGGGTGCCATGCGGGGGGACCCAGCGTCCGGCGCGGCCCTACCTTCTGGCAAACCTGAAAGACAGATTTCTACAAAGACAAACAGAAGAGAAGGGGATGTTGGGAGGGGGAGGGGGCCGGGACAGAGCCACCCCCTCCCCTGAGACCCCCACAGCCCCCCCCGAGCGGGGCTGGGGTCAGTGGGGTCCGGGGAAAAGCAGCACCCCCACCCCCCGCCCCGGCTCTGTGGGGACAGAGGGACAGGAGGGGACAGGGGGGTCCCTGAGGGGACATGGGGGGGGACAGGAGGGGACATGCAGGGACATGGGGGGTCCCTGAGGGGACATGGGGGACCCCAGGAGGATTAGTGGGAGGCCGGGGAGGACAGGAAGGGCCATGCGGGTGCCTGAGGGGACAGTGGCAGGGACAGGAGGGGACACAGAGGGAGGAGAAGAACAGAGAAGCCTCGAGAGCACCGAGGGGACACCCTGAGGGGACAGAGAAACACGGCAGGGATCTGGGGGACACCGAGAGGACACCGAGGAGCCCTCAGAGGGGACAAACAGGGGACAGAGAATCCCTGGAGCGCCGAGGGGACACCGAGGGGACACCGAGGGGACAGCCCAGGACACACAGAGGGAAGGGCACAGCGAGGGGACAGCGAGAGCCCAGAACACACCAGGGGGACACATCCAGGGGCACGTCCAGGGGCACGTCCAGGGGCACGGGGCAGCAGGCCCGGCCCTGCGGCTCACCTGCGCACGAACTTGGAGGTGAACTTGCTGAAGAGGCTGGCGGAGGGGCCGCGCCGGCCCTGGCTGGCGCCCGAGGGCGAGGCGGGCGGGGGCAGCCCGGGGGGCAGCGCGTAGGGCAGGGGGTCCCGGGGGTCCCGGGGGGCGCGCAGCTGCCCGGCGTGGAAGGTGCTGCGGCTCGAGACCCCCCGCGGGAAGCTCGGCCGCTCGCCCGGGCCCTGGCTCACGTTGTGGGCAGAGGGGGACGCTGCAGGCACCCGGGGGGGAGCCCCGCTGCGGGGGGACACGGGGTTAGGGGGCACCCCTGAGCCCCCCGGGACCTGGGGACACCCCCAGAGCCCTGAAGGGGGGACACGGCTGCCCCCAGAGACACCCCCAGACCCCTGAATGGGGACATTGCTGCCCCCTGAGCCCCCCCCCGGCACCCAGGGACACCCCCAGAGCCCTGAAGGGGGGACACGGCTGCCCCCAGGGACACCCCTGATTCTCCCCCAGTACCCAGGGACACCCCCAGACCCCTGAAGGGCGACATTGCTGCCCCCAGAGACACCCCCAGAGTCCTGAAGGGGGGGACACTGCTGCCCCCTGAGCCCCCCCAGCACCCAGGGACACCCCCAGACCCCCGTGGGAAGCTGGGGCGCTCCCCAGCACCCAGTGAATGCAGGAATGGGGGGCTGGGGGGGGATCGCCCACCCCCATCTCCATCCCAGCACCCTCGGGAGCCCCCCCAGGGGAAGCTGGGGTGTCCCCCCGTGGGTCCCCACCTGTCTTTGCCGTTCTGCAGCGAGCTCTGGCCCAGGCTGGCCCGGTCCAGCAGCGGCGAGTTCCGGCTGCGCGTGGTGCCCGTGGACAGGACGCTGTTCTGTGGGGGGACAGGGACACGGGGGGCTGGGGGGGACACACAGGTGCCCCAAAACCCCCAAACTGCAGACACGGGACGTGCGGACCCTCCAGGGGACACCAAGCCCCACCAGCGACCCCCACACACCCTGGGGGACCCAGGGACAGCCGACGCCCATCCCCACCCCGAATCAGCAGATACTGACCCCAAATCTGGGGTTCCAGGTGTTGGGGACCCCCCTCCCACCTCAGCACCGCAATTCCCCCCAGTCCAGGGCCCCCCCGGGTGTCCCCCACCCTGCACTGACCGTGGACGGGGAGGGGGTGCCCTTGGATCGCTCCAGGCCGGGCAGGGGGCTGGGGGGCACCTTGGCCGTGCTGCCGGCCCGGCGCCCCCCGACCTCTTCCTCCCCTGCTCCTCCTCCTCCTCCTCCTCCTGCTCCTGCCGCTCCCCCTCGCTTGTTCTCCGCGTTGGCCGCCTGCGTTTTCTTGGAGTACGAGGCTGAGGTGGGGATGGAGAGCCCGGCTGGGGCGGGAGGGGCTGTCAGGGCTGGGGGTCCCACGGGGACCCCTCCCTTCCCCTTCACCCCGCCTCGCTGGGGGATCCGGCTCACACAGCACCCCACGAGGGGCTGGGCACCCCCGATCCCACCCACCCGGGCCTCCCCCAGGGACCCCCACGCCCATTCCTGCACCCCGAGGGGGCCCC